AGACTGCTGGTTCCTTGCCACTCAGGCAGATGCAGTCCGACTTCGAGAGAAGCTACCAATTAGTCGACTCTTACAACATGACAGATGGTTCTGTTCATCTGGGTGTAAGACCTGTCTGGGGATTTTCAGCTAGAACTAAAGAAAAAATTTTGGCAGAACAAAACGGAGCTTTTTATCTACAACTTCAAGCATGAGGATGGGGAAGGAATCACTGAAAAATCTTAATTAGATAGTAGAAAACAAAGTTACCAGAGTAAGTATTGTGTCTGATTCTCAGCCGGCATTGCGGAAGGTTAAAGGGTATGTCCGGTGTGCTAGGATGTTTATTTCTTCAATCACTAATCAGTGAAAGGACTGTGACCAACGTGTTGGTGTGAATTGTAGATTCAGAAAATGACACGATGCCTGTCGTGCGGTGTTGTGGTGCCCGTATGTGATTAAAATTGATCGCGTGGGCAACTGCTGATATTTTGGCGACTTCTGCTACCATCAATGATGAAATGCAATTCTAATACTGTGATAAACATTGTGTGTTTTTCGTTGGCACAGGAGCGGAGCAAAGATGGGGTGACCCGTTTGCTATATAGCTGAAACTAAGACTACCAGACCAGTGAAAGGACAGATCTAAACTTATTGGTTAAAAAAAACCGCACTGTTAATCAAGTGTTAGGAATTATACCAATTTCTTCTTATTTCTTCTTTTTTTTCTACTGCTGGAATGCACCCATTGTCAGGGCAGAAAGAGATCTCCGTTGGCTTCGTGTATAGTACTTTACAGTGTTCGATATTCAGGGGTCCGTTATTTCATGGCCGGCCTCCAGCTCTATTTACTATTGTCACTGGATAACATTACTCTCTGTGGTGCCCTGTTTGATGACAATCTGTTTGACATGACCACACTGTTTTATTTTTTGACTACCGATAAATTTCAGAATTAGTTCTGTGCCGACTCTCCTCCTGAAAAAAAAAAACGTTCCTCAGTCGATCTTTCCCTGCTATACCTAGCATAATATAAAAACATTTCATTTCTGTCGTGACTGCTTTCCTTCTGTCTTCTGCAGACAGTGTCCATGTTTGACATTGATAGCTCAGTGTTGGTAAGAATATTGTGTTGAACAGTGTTATTTTAGTGTTCAAAGTCATGTGTTTCTCGTTTTGGATAGGATATTAAGAAAGCACCCAATTTTGAAATAGTCTAGTGAACAAAAAAAGACACTTTCACAATGGTTTTAGAAAACAAAATAAAACACTCTTGTAATGGTTTACTGAATAAAATAATACACTTTACAATTATGAACAAAACAATACACTTTTGTAATGTTTTCTAGAATATTTAAGACGCTTTTATAATGATTTAGGGAAAAAATAGATACTTTTGTCATGTTTAATGAATACAATAAAACACTTTTGTCATGATTTATTGAAAAAAAATAAGGTACGTTTGTATAATTTATGAAAAAAGTGACACTTGTAATATTTTAATGAACAAACAAAAACACGTTTACAATGGTTTCAGCACAAAATAAAACAATTTTGTAATGTTTAATGAATAAAATAATACACTTTATGAACAAAATTGTACACTGTTGTGATGTGTTCTTTTAAAAAAACACTTTTATAATGATTAAGAACAAAATAGGATACTACTATAATGTTTATTGAGCAAAATAAGATAATTTTATCATGATTTACTGAACAAAATAAGATAATTTTGTATGATTTACCAAAGAAAATGACACTTTTGTAATATTTTAATAAACAAAAAAAGACACTTTTATAATGTTTTACTCAACATAATAGAAGATTTTTATAATGTTCTACTGAATTTAAAAAACACTTTCCACAATGTTTTATGAACAAAATAAGACACCTTTGCTATAAATTATGAAGATAATAAGAAATAAGACACATTTATGTAGAATTACTCAATAAAACAACATCAAGTTGGGGTAATTTAGAAACATAAGATTTGTATAGGTGGGAGTCATTCTGCAGGGAACAAAATGTAAACCCAAGGTCACCAAAGAAAATCAACACAAAATTAAATGTAGGTTTTCACACAACTGTTTCAGAATTCTGTAGACTTGTTCTGCATGCTAAATTACGTCCAATGATTAATCAGACAACTATGTGACTACACATGTTTGACAACCAATGAGAAGGCTATTTACAAGGCATCTCTGCATTGTCTAGCAAATCTCAAGTTTGCATTAAAAGCTAAAACCACTTGTACTTAGAATAGGCCACAATAAAACCTTACCCGAGTCAAATATGTTTACTTGAAAACTGAATTAAGCCAGATTGTGGTTTGGTTTGCTTGTTCACTGTTCTTCCTTGCTCACAGCACATACATTTGGACACCCTTATTTGTATCTCCCCCCCCCCCAGTCCATTTGTTTCCCATTTCAGTACCTGTTTGGTGATTCTCTATTCACTTCTTCCCAGGCTGTGCCTTAAATACCACCACCTTCTTTGTCTTATAACTGCTGATACTGGTTCTAATTCTTCAACATTTCCAGATCTCATCCCATTTTATGTTCATCATTTTCGTCAGGCATTTTTCTCTCCAAATAATTCATTAGATTTCAAACTGTTAAGGGTTGTTGATGGCAAAAAGTCTTTGGCAGCTACTAATATTATGCCTATTATAACAGATGTGGTTCACTGCTGCAACTACATAGTGTGTAGACTGGTTGGTATGCCTATTATAACAGATGTGGTTCATTGCTGCAACTACATAGTGTGTAGGCTGGTTGGTATGCCTATTATAACAGATGTGGTTCACTGCTGCAACTACATAGTGTGTAGACTGGTTGGTATGCCTATTATAACAGATGTGGTTCATTGCTGCAACTACATAGTGTGTAGACTGGTTGGTATGCCTATTATAACAGATGTGGTTCATTGCTGCAACTACATAGTGTGTAGACTGGTTGGTATGTCTATTATAACAGATGTGGTTCACTGCTGTAACTACATAGTGTGTAGACTGGTTGGTATGCCTATTATAACAGATGTGGTTCACTGCTGCAACTACATAGTGTGTAGACTTGTTAAGTATGAGAACATTTACACCAACACACACATGCACATATGCATGCATGCACACACACACACAGGTTTGAGATGTTAACTTGAGTGACAAACTTTTTTTTGGGTAACTGCAGCTTCATAATAGGGTCATAATATTCAATGTTTCTATCACTGTTCAAGGAGAGACATTAAAAAAAGCTAAGGAGTTTCAGTACCTAGGCAGCGTATTCACAGAAGATGGAGGGTTGGACAGAGAAATATAATACAGAATACAGAAGGCCAACGACATAAATTACCAAATAGCTCCACTTTTGAGGCATCAAAATGTCAACATGCAAACATAGAAAGCAGCTGATAAATGTGCTATTCATACCAACTTTATGCTATCAATGCCAGACAAAAATAAAAACACAAACTTACAACATGTGAGATTTGATGTATAAGAAAGGTGGCAGGAAAAACAACAAAGAACTAAGAACTATGTTAGACACAGTGCTGGTAAATGATTTCACAGAACCTGGTCACCATGGAACAAAATCAGCAGAACAGCAGGCTACAAGGTGGCAGGCTGACCAAGAAAGAGATGTGTGGAAGGAGTCAAAGAGAGACTATAGAAATGCAATATGACACGAACACAAACGACGCAATTAGCAAAAGACCACAATCATACCTAATCCTCTCTGGGACTCTTTATGGCATAAGCAGTAGGATACAAGAAGTAGAAAACAAGTGTTGTCATAAACTTATAATGACGTCAATTTGCTCTCTATGGTGGTGTCAACAAAAGCCCTGTCTTCTTGGTCAAAGGAAGGGAAAGCAATTATTTCTTTGCTTAGGGATTAATTCCCATTGATGTATATCAATCATGTGTACAAAATAATTACTATACATCAAAAATTCATCTTTTCGTGTGACTCGGGGGTCACAGGATGCAACAGCTGTCAGGCTCACCTGTCTGCTCGGTGGTCGTGAGTCTCAAACCCTTAGAGTTTTATTCAGTCTGACCAAGACTCCAAATTACTTCTGTTTGTCTTCCTTTTTCTCTGCTATGCCAGCATTTCCCAGAATTATAACAATGCATTTCCTTGTAACGAAATGTTTAGAATGTCATTTCCAAATATGTTTATGGAGCAAAAGGGTTAACCTTTGTTCAATATCTTACGTGTTTCTGCAACTTTCACTGACGTGTTAAAATTGGAATAACGTTAGAATTAAAAGTACAGAATGTGGCTTTAAAGCAATATAATTTGGCAATTGAGTTTAGGCTTTCAAAAACCACTGTTGCCTGACCAATGAGTTTCATAACTTCTTTCTTTGTGTTACACTGGCAATCAAAATTGCTACCTTAAACTAATCTGTTTTTTTTTAATGTGTTGTCTCCAGTATAACTTCTTTTTGATTTGTTATTATTGTTCTGCAAATAAAGTGATAATTTTTTCTTTTCTTACTTTTGCCCCACAGCATTCCAAGCTAGCAAGGTTTATTTCTGCGTATATCATCCACCTCAATTCATCTCTGTGACTGGCCTTCTCTTTCATGTTAGCTATTCCAAGTGTCTGAAGGGAGATCAAGTATCACTGATAAATCACCAGTGACTTGCAACAAATTTACTAGCTACTGTTCTCTTCTCCTCATTTTACTAGAGGCTACAATGTTACAGCTGTCAAATCAAATAGGAGATTCTCAGAAATTTAGTTCCAAAAGCTTTGTTTATTTTTGTTGGATAGTTTAGTTGCTGAGGTCAGAACAACTTTTTATTTTTAATTTTTTTTATTTGTAGGTCACAATCCGGCAACAAAGCAAGTTGATAATGATGATCACATAGAGGTATCAATAGTTAAAGTGATCTAGTGTCTAGAACAGTCTAGAAGGTCATTTAGTATCTAGAAGGTCATATGGTGTCCAGAACAGTCTAGAAGGTCATTGATGTCTAGAACAGTTTTGAAGGTCTCCTGGTGTCTAGAAGGTCATCTGGTGATAAGTATCAGCTGTGATGTGCATCGAGAGGCTGAGATAAACAAGTTACTTTTGTCCCATCTGGTGTAGCCTTGGATGTCAGCAATGTTGAAAATGTGCTCCTCAATGGATGTCATCGACAGACAAGTATGATGACAGTTGCTAACTGCAGATGTTATCAGGCTGCTAGATGCTGCCAGTCCTAAATTGTCAGGGACATGAGTGTCTCTCAGAAATGTCTGTCTGTCACTGACGATGCTGTCGCTGTCTTCACTATCTGCACTCGCCCCAGTCTCCTCTTCGCTGACACTGTCAGACTCACTACTGCCTCGGGACACACCTTCCCCAGAATCAGCATGCTCACACGGTTCTGTCTTCTCCTTCCATGTTTCATCCTCAGACGCCATTAATCCTGGACAAGGTATGTTTAGTGATGGTTCAGTTAGGTATTCCTCATCCCAGTACTGGGGCATGGCCTCGTCTCCCGGCAGAAAAATGACGACTTTGTTTTCTAGGCCCTGGTAGGTGTAGATCCAGGTGACGTTGATGACTTCTTGTGTGGCCTGGGTCACTAGCTGACCACATGACAGGTCTGTGTGGACCCTTGTTGGGTAGCCAGCTGCTCTCAGCTTGTCCAGAAGAGCACAGTTCTTCAGACCTAGCATATAGGTCTTGTATCTGTCCACTGTTGTGTCCAGGTAGCCCGCCTCATCCTGCCTGTTAATAAAACAAATACAATGTTTTTAAGGTCATGCACATTTACAGGTAAACAATACAGCCATTTCCTAACCTTCAGATGTTTACAGGAACTGTGTTAACGTTGTTCTGATTTAAAACTGACATTACAGCACATGGAACATTCCCATAAGTGCTTCATTCTCATCTACAGCAGCCAACTGAGTTTCAATGTTGGTGGTAAGAACAGCAGGTTAATTAAATGTCTATCTTGCCTTTCTCTGAGTATGGAGTGTTATCCAGATCTCCTAGTGTATAGAGACAATTATCTATATCTATGTTAGATAGAGGTCTTACCTGTTTAGTAACTGTGTTAGAGATCATACCTGTGTCAAACAGAGATCATACCTGTATAGTGAATGTGTCAGATAGAGATCATACCTGTATAGTGAATGTGTCAGATAGAGATCCTACCTGTAAAGTGAATGTGTCAGATAGAGATCATACCCATAAAATGACTGTGTCAGATAGAGATCATACCTGTATAGTGAATGTGTCAGATAGAAATCATACCTGTATAGTGAATGTATCAAACAGAGATCATACCCGTTTAGTGACTGTGATAGACAGAGATCATACCTGTATAGTGAATGTGTCAGACAGAGATCAAACCTGTATAGTGAATGTGTCAGACAGAGATCATACCTGTATAGTGAATGTGTCAGATAGAGATCATACCTGTATAGTGAATGTGTCAGATAGAGATCATACCTGTATAGTAAATGTGTCAGATAGAGATCATACCTGTATAGTGAATGTGTCAGATAGAGATCATACCTGTATAGTGAATTTTTCAGAAAGAGATCATACCCCTATAGTGACTGTGATAGAGATCATACCTGTATAGTGAATGTGTTAGATAGAGATCATACCGGTATAGTGAATGTGTCAAACAGAGATCATACCTGTTTAGTGACTGTAATAGATATAGATCATACCTGTATAGTGAATGTGTCAGACAGAGATCATACCTGTATAGTGAATGTGTCAGATAGAGATCATACCTGTATAGTGAATGTGTCAGATAGAGATCATACCTGTATAGTGAATGTGTCAAACAGAGATCATACCTGTATAGTGAATGTGTCAGATAGAGATCATACCTGTATAGTGAATGTGTCAGATAGAGATCATACCTGTATAGTGAATGTGTCAAACAGAGATCATACCCATATAGTGACTGTGTCAGATAGAGATCAAACCCATATAGTGACTGTGTCAGATAGATATCATACCCATATAGTGACTGTGTCAGATAGAGATCATACCCATATAGTGAATGTGTCAGATAGAGATCATACCTGTATAGTGAATGTGTCAAACAGAGATCATACCCATATAGTGAATGTGTCAGATAGAGATCATACCCATATAGTGACTGTGTCAGATAGAGATCATACCCATATAGTGAATGTGTCAGATAGAGATCATACCTGTATAGTGACCTGGGCATGTTTACCAAGATGACAATCTCTGAACACTTGAGTGACCAAAGCTGTAAGTCGGGGTCAGTGTGACCTTTCTCTGGAAGTCTGACCTGTAACCTCTTGAAGATGTTCACCAAGTCACTGCCACATAATCTGGGAGATAAAAATATGTGTGACCGAGACTGTCTAGATACAATTGTCTGTAATATACAACTGTGTGTTAGATACAATTGTCTGTAAGATACAATTGTCTGTAAGATACAACTGTCTGTTAGATACAATTGTCTTGAATTTAGAACAGTCTGTAGGATACAACTGTCTGTAAGATACAAGGTCTGACAATCAAGTAATCAGATTTGATTATGGCCAAGACAAAAAGGCCATATATGAAGCAAAGTATGGAATCCAAGAGGCAACCTTCATCAAGGATCTGAAAACTTGTTATCACCGCCTGATAAGCAGACAGCAAACAAGCAGCCATTTTGTTGACCTAGTCAGAGGTGCATTGTTACATAATCAGCATGGAGCAGAAAGCCAACATTAAATTCTGTTTAAAACTCAGAAAAAGCGCGACTGAGACAGCTGAATTGATACTACAAGTTTATGGGGATAATTGTTTATCTTGCTCATAGATTTTCAGGTGAAATTCACAATTTAAAAGTGGTGTGGAAGTGATTACTAATGCACTAGACCTGGAAGCACAATTTCTGTTCGTAATGAGGATCGCATTGCAAAAGTCAGAGAACGGATACAAGAAGATAATTTTTTGACTGTGAGGATGATGGTAGATGAATTTGATGTTAATAGACAGACCATTTGTAAAATTTAAGTGCAAAATTTGGGCTAGAAAAAATTTGCTTGCTGGTTTGTACCTTCTTAATGATAATGCACTGGCAGTAGTTGTACGATAATTTTTGGCCCTAAAATGAGTGTGTGTTCTTAACCATGCACCCTATTTCCCAGATTTGTTTCCCTTTTTTTCTATTTCCAAAATTGAAGTTACATTGAAAGGACGCCTCTTTGACGATAGTGATGACATTAAAATTCCGTAACATCGACTTTAAAGGCCATAGCAACAGAAGAACTACAGAGGTTGTTCCAATGTTAGTTAGATCGTGCTACTTGCTGTATCAATGCACAAGGGGCTCACTTTGAATAAAATACAGGTTATATCTTCAACTGTTGATGATTTTATTTGTTATGGAATTAGTCTCAAAACGTAATTGTCAGACCTTGTACAACTGTCTCCGTTAATCTTTATCGTCCTTTGTGTGGGATGCAATTCTTTGTTATTTTGAAGCCTGTCATTGGAGGCCACAATATAGTCTGATGGTTGAATGTGATTTTCAGGACCTTTCCACGGGTGATCCTCAGATCCTCACCTGAGTGGTGGTACTTTGTGTCACTGGGTGTTTGTTACTCTGTGTAATGTCCTAGTGGGGTAACATTTACTAACTTATTTACAACTGTCTGTAAGATAAAACTTTCTGTAAGATACAACCGTCTGTAAGATACAACCGTCTGTAAGATACAGCTGTCTGTAAGATACAACTGTCTGTGAGATACAACTGTCTGTGAGATATAACAACTGTCTGTGAGATACAACTGTCTGTGAGATACAACTGTCTGTAAGATACAACTGTCTGTGAGATACAGCTGTCAGTAAGATACAACTGTCTGTAAGATACAACTGTCTATCAGATACAACTGTCTGTGAGATACAACTGTCTGTGAGATATAACAACTGTCTGTGAGATACAACTGTCTGTGAGATACAACTGTCTGTAAGATACAACTGTCTGTAAGATACAACTGTCTGTAAGATACAACAACTGTCTGTGAGATACAACTGTCTGTAAGATACAATAACTGTCTGTACGATACAACTGTCTGTAAGATACAACTGTCTGTGAGATACAACAACTGTCTGTGAGATACAACTGTCTGTAGGATACAACTGTCTGTAAGATACAACTGTCTGTAAGATATAATAACTGTCTGTAAGATACAACTGTCTGTAAGATACAATTGTCTGTAAGATACAACTGTCTGTAAGATATAACTATCTGTAAATACAGAGAAACTTACGGGCACTCTGCTGGGGGCAAGTGGACATACGCTTTATGATGTTGGTGACGTACAGCCAAAACTTGAGGCCCATTGGTTGGCAGTGCTGCCTTGGTGCTGTCTGTAATGTAACAATGTTTCCTGTCATCGACCCAGTCAATGAGAGACAGAATGTGCTGGACACTTGGGGGACAGCGTATTACCTGGACATATAGAAACATAATTGATATTGAACTTTTCATTTTCACATTTCAGGCTTCAATTTTCCGGTTCTGAAATAAAATGTGTTCCATATTTTTGCTCTGATCAAAGTTTTGTGGAGTATTCAGCATGCCAACCTGGTCCATTGCTCATCTGCCCTGTCTGGTCTATTGCTCATCTGCCCTGTCTGGTCTATTGCTCATCTGCCCTGTCTGGTCTATTGCTCATCTGCCCTGTCTGGTCTATTTCTCATCTGCCATGTCTGGTCCATTGCTCATCTGCCCTGTCTTGTCCATTGCTCATCTGCCCTGTCTAGTCCATTGCTCATCTGCCCTGTCTGGTCTATTGCTCATCTGCCCTATCTGGTCCATTGCTTATCTGCCCTGTCTGGTCCATTGCTCATCTGCCCTGTCTGGTCTATTGCTCATCTGCCCTGTCTGGTCCATTGCTCATCTACCCTGTCTGGTCCATTGCTCATCTGCCCCGTCTGGTCTATTGCTCATCTGCCCTGTCTGGTCCATTGCTCATCTGCCATGTCTGCAAGCTTGTCAATTTGTTCATTTTCTTTTATATCTGCATGCCCTGATCCACCCACACACATGCCTGCACACACACACATGCACATACACATGCCCACACACACATATGAAACTGATCTGCATCAGCCTTGACCACCGAATAAACTCCAAACACTGTCTTCAAGCCTAGCCAGTCTTGGTCTTTCTGAATATACTGAGTCAAGGAGAATGCTTGCCCTAGTAAAGGTCTGTGTCTCCAGCCAGTCTTGATCTTTCTGAATATACTTACTGAGTCACGGAGAATGCTTGCCCTAGTGAAGGTTTGTGTTTCCAGCCAATCGTGATTCTGAATATACTCACTGAGTCCCTGAGAAATCATGCACAAGTGAAAGTGTGTGTCTCCAGCCAGTCTTGATCTTTCTGAATATACTTACTGAGAAAACATGTCAGAGTGAAGGTTTATGTCTCCAGCCAGTCTTGATCTTTCTGAATATACTTACTGAGAAAACATGTCAGAGTGAAGGTTTATGTCTCCAGCCAGGCACTGGCTTTAATTACTGCCACAGCCAAACTGCCTGCAGCCAATACTAAAGCACTGTTTCCTCCATATTTCTCCCCTCCAAGAGAGATAGCCAAACTGCCTGTAGCCAATGCTAAAGCACTGTTTCCTCCATATTTCTCCCCTCCAAGAGAGATAGCCAAACTGCCTGTAGCCAATGCTAAAGCACTGTTTCCTCCATATTTCTCCCCTCCAAGAGAGATAGCCAAACTGCCTGTAGCCAATGCTAAAGCACTAGTTTCCTCCATATTTCTCCCCTCCAAGAGAGATAGCCAAACTGCCTGTAGCCAATGCTCAAGCACTGTTTCCTCCATATTTCTCCCCTCCAAGAGAGATAGCCAAACTGCCTGTAGCCAATGCTCAAGCACTGTTTCCTCCATATTTCTCCCCTCCAAGAGAGATAGCCAAACTGCCTGTTGCCAATGCTAAAGCACTGTTTCCTCCATATTTCTCCCCACCAAGAGAGATAGCCAAACTGCCTGTAGCCAATGCTCAAGCACTGTTTCCTCCATATTTCTCCCCTAAAAGAGTGATATCAGCTGACAACCGCAAACTTCCCATTATGTGTACAATGTAAGTGTTTACAAACTCTCCTATGAGTGTACACCCCCACATACTCATTACTGATTAGTAACAAAAACATTACTGATTAGTAACAAAAACATTACTGATTAGTAACAAAAACATTACTGATTAGTAAGAAAAACATTACTGATTAGTAACAAAAACATTACTGATTAGTAACAAAAACATTACTGATTAGTAACAAAAACATTACTGATTAGTAACAAAAACATTACTGATTAGTAACAAAAACATTACTGATTAGTAACAAAAACATGTTATGGTCTGTAGAAATAAATGTTTGTACAATTGTTACCTTTGTGAGCTTAAGGGAAGTAAATCTGTCAGGCTGTTTGCCATACAAGCCGGCACACCACATGGCACTGTTGGTGAACTCCTGGCGCAGAGTCTGGAAGACTGAATCCCAGTATGTCTGTACATATGTTTCATCCACAATAAACAGAATCCTATTACCATACTCGCCAATTTCATCTCCCCATCTTGAGCGAATTCTGTCCACAAACTCCTGTCTCTGGAACATGTTGGCACCGACATCGACCCCAATCTGACAAGTGAAACAAATACTGAATGACAAGGAGGATAAAAACATACACTGAGAATAAGGTAGACAAAAACTGCCTCAACCAATCCCAGAATTCATACAGTCCAACATAATGAAAACAACAACCAGGACTGTTCTGTTTTTCTTGGAGGGAGATAACCACTGTGTCCCTTGGCAGTGTTGGTGGTGCTGAAAATGATAAATAAGGGAAAAGAAATAATTGTTAGTGTAGGTCTGGGCAAAACGATCCAGGAAGGAGAAACTTGTGGAGCAGGAGCAGACACAAGACAAACAATCCAGGTAGGAGAAACTTGTGGAGCAAGGACAGAGACAAGACAAATGATCCAGGAAGGAGAAACTTGTGGAGCAAGGACAGAGACAAGACAAACAATCCAGGAAGGAGAAACTTGTGGAGCAAGGGGCAGACACAAGACAAACAATCCAGGTAGGAGAAACTTGTGGAGCAGGGGCAGACAAAAGACAAACAATCCAGGAAGGAGAAACTTGTGGAGCAGGGGCAGACACAAGACAAACAATCCAGGTAGGAGAAACTTTTGGAGCAGGGGCAGACACAAGACAAACAATCCAGGAAGAAGAAACTTGTGGAGCAAGGACAGAGACAAGACAAATGATCCAGGAAGGAGAAACTTGTGGAGCAAGGACAGAGACAAGACAAAAAATCCAGGAAGAAGAAACTTGTGCAGCAAGGGCAGACACAAGACAAACAAGATTAACTACATCAGGTATAGAGTGTAGACACTGGATGGATAAGGACTGAGTTAACTGCATCAAGTGTATACTCGACAACAAGACACTGGATGGATGATGACAGGGTTAACTACATCAAGTGTAGACTCTAAGAGACTGTATCGATGATGACAGAGTTAACCACATCAAGTGTAGACTTAACAACAAGACACTGGATTGATGATGACAGAGTTAACTACATCAGGTGTAAAGTCTAGACATTGGATGGATGATGACAGACTTAAATACATTAGGTGTAGGGTCTAAGAGACTAGATGGATGATGACAGAGTTAACTACATCAGGTGTAGAGTCTAAGACACTGGATGGATGATGACAGTATTAACTACATCATGTGTAGAGTCTAGACATTGGATGGATGATGACAGAGTTAACTACATCAGGTGTAGAGTCTAAGAGACTGGATGGATGATGACAGAGTTAACTACATCAGGTGTAGAGTCTAAGAGACTGGATGGATGATGACAGAGTTAACTACATTAGATGTAGAGTCTAGACATTGGATGGATGATGACAGAGTTAACTACATCAGGTGTAGAGTCTAGACATTGGATGGATGATGACAGAGTTAACTACATCAGGTGTAGAGTCTAAGAGACTGGATGGATGATGACAGAGTTAACTACATCAGGTGTAGGGTCTAAGAGACTGGATGGACGATGACAGAGTTAACTACATTAGATGTAGAGTCTAGACACTAGATGGATGATAACAGAGTTTCATCAGGTGTAGTCTAGACATTGGATGGACAATGACAGAGTTAACTGCATCAGATGTAGGCTTTAGATGATAGATGGACGATGACAGAGTTAACTACATCAAGTGTAGACTTTAGGCACTAGATGGATGATGACAGAGTTAACTACATCAGGTGTAGGCTTTAGACACTAGATGGATGATGACAGAGTTTACATCAGGTGTAGAGTCTAGACACTGGATGGATGATGACAGCGTTAACTACATCAGTGTGACAGAACTAGTACACAGACTATATGTAACTGTAGTTACATGTGCCCATACTTGACATGCAGTACTATTCAGAAGAGGATTGAACCCGTCCTTAACAAGTAGATACAGCCCATGCTCTGACTGAAGCTTTCATGCAGGAGTGTAACACAGAGAACTGAACTCGTTTATAACAGATAACTATAGAGTATCCAGCCACTTGAGGCAAAACGTACTAGTGCATTTGTAATTGCTTCACTTTTTGATTGTTACCAGGTATTATCTTAGCACCCAGGCAGGCATTTGTTGCCAAATTGCCAAACTGTAATCACCGACTGTCTACAGTGACAATGTTTCCCACAGCATAATGACAATCATAAAGATAGTAGGTTTAATTAACAAATAATGACAGAAAATATCTCATGTTGTGACAAACACATTGTCGGCTGATTAAATGTGAATAAAAAAACATCTCCTGCTATGGAAAACTCATTATAAACTGGATTGCTGACAGTTACAAGACTGGAGGAACACAGAAAGTAGACTTCCTCCAAGAACGTCTAAAGTTGCTAGCAATGGAGTACATAGCAATGGCATGTTAGGTTGTTGGTAACCAACCCAGCAACGCAAAACTTTTTAACAACTTACAACCATTTGCAAGGGGCACTGACGACACAGAGATGACAAGACACTAGTTGTAGAGTGGTTTTGGACACTGTATGCTGCCAGTCATGGCTCACTTGAACTGACATTTGACAACACTAGGAAATAGAGGTAATTCAAGTTAGTTGAACGGCATATGGCGTTACAATATCTAAGAGAAAGACTAATAGAACTAGAGAAGAACAAACAACCAAAAGAAGAAATTAAACAGGGTTAACTGCATCAGGTCTAGATTCTACTGGATGGATGATGACAGAGTTAACTACATAAGGTGTAGACTTTAGGATGTGTCCAACAATCACAAATCTCACCTCCATTGTATGTTTCCTTAGGGTGAGCTCTTTGTTCTCATCACTGTTTTCTGTGATAGTTTTCAAGATGTGCTTCCCGATCGCTCGACCTGGAGCCCCACGATACATGTTCACCACAACAACAAAATTTCCCTCATTCAGGATCCACCTGCAAGTAAGCAATACAGACCAGCTCAGCTATGTGATCTAGAAATTGGAAAAACAACTCGTGATTCTTCATGACTGAACAGTATAGACCAACTCAGCTACATGACCTGGACACCGTCTGTGGCAATAATTCTTTATTTATGTTCACATTAACTAGTAAATACCAACATACTATATTTATAATTCTAGGTCCTAGATTTATGGCTTCATCAACTGACATACACCAACACACTTTATAATTCTATATCCTAGATTTATGTCTACATCAACTGAAATATACTAACATACTATATTTATAATTCTAGGTCTTATTTATAACTATACATATATACATATATATACACAAATATAAATATATACATATATATACACAAATATATATATATTTGTGTGTGTGTGTGTGTGTGTGTGTGTGTGTGTGTGTGTGTGTGTGTGTGTGTGTGTGTGTGTGTGTGTGTGTGTGTGTGTGTGTGTGTGTGTGTGTGTGTGTGTGTGTGTGTGTGTGTGTGTGTGTGTGTGTGTGTGTGTGTGTGTGTGTGTGTGTGTGTGTGTGTGTGTGTGTGTGTGTGTGTGTGTGTGTGTGTGTGTGTGTGTGTGTGTGTGTGTGTGTGTGTGTGTGTGTGTGTGTGTGTGTGTGTGTGTGTGTGTGTGTGTGTGTGTGTGTGTGTGTGTGTGTGTGTGTGTGTGTGTGTGTGTGTGTGTGTGTGTGTGTGTGTGTGTGTGTGTGTGTGTGTGTGTGTGTGTGTGTGTGTGTGTGTGTGTGTGTGTGTGTGTGTGTGTGTGTGTGTGTGTGTGTGTGTGTGTGTGTGTGTGTGTGTGTGTGTGTGTGTGTGTGTGTGTGTGTGTGTGTGTGTGTGTGTGTGTGTGTGTGTGTGTGTGTGTGTGTGTGTGTGTGTGTGTGTGTGTAACATCCACATGTAACATAAACACACACATGTAACAAACACACACATGTAATATCCATATGTAACATAAACAGATAAGTATACAAACACAAATACATGTCATATACATTACCTACATGTAACACACACACATGTAACACCTACATGTAACACACACAAACTTATAACACCCACTCTACACAACATAGACAACACTCAGAATCCATGAAGAAGAAATCAGGTTACCTGCGAGCTCTTAAAGACAGAACCACTGTCTTGCCAGATCCAGGTGGCCCACACAGGTAGCCCAGTTTAATGTCTGTGTCCAAATAATCTTTCTGGTCAGGAGTGAGAACTATGTTGGCAAATCTTTCGCCAACATACCACACCATCTGACCTTTACGGCGACCTTCCACTAGGCCTTCAATGCGATGTAGTTTTGAGTTTGCGTTGTTGCAGACTTTCACCACAGACATAAAGCCAATGTATCTGGAATTAGGATGAGGTGTTACCAAGGGCATTATACCATTCACACTGATAACATTGGCAACCAGACACATGTAACAGTAGACACATGTGACAGAATTAAGATTAGGTGTTAGCAAGGGCATTATACCATTGACACTGATAACACTGGCAACCAGACACATGTAACAGTAGACACATGTGACAGAATTAAGATTAGGTGTTAGCAAGGGCATTATACCATTCACACTGATAACACTGGCAACCAGACACATGTAACAGTAGACATATGTGACAGAATTAAGATTAGGTGTTAGCAAGGGCATTATACCATTGACACTGATAACACTGGCAACCAGACACATGTTACAGTAGACACATGTGACAGAATTAAGATTAGGTGCTAGCAAGGGCATTATACCATTGACACTGATAACACTGGCAACCAGACACATGTAACAGTAGACATATGTAACAGTAGACACATGTGACAGAATTAAGATTAGGTGTTAGCAAAGGCATTATACCATTGACACTGATAACACTGGCAACCAGACACATGTAACAGTAGACACATGTGACAGAATTAAGATTAGGTGTTAGCAAAGGCATTATACCATTGACACTGATAACACTGGCAACCAGACACATGTAACAGTAGACATATGTAACAGTAGACACATGTGACAGAATTAAGATTAGGTGTTAGCAAAGGAATTATACCACTGACACTGATAACACTGGCAACCAGACACATGTAACAGAATTAGGATTAGGTGTTAGCAAAAGGCATTATACCATTCACACTGATAACACTGGCAACCAGACACATGTAACAGTAGACACATGTGACAGAATTAAGATGAGGTGTTAGCAAAGGCATTATACTATTGACACTGATAACACTGGCAACCAGACACATGTAACAGTAGACACATGTGACAGAATTAAGATTAGGTGTTAGCAAAGGCATTATACCATTGACACTGATAACACTAGCAACCAGACACATGAAACAGTAGACACATGTGACAGAATTAAGATAAGGTGTTAGCAAAGGCATTATACCATTGACACTGATAACACTGGCAATCAGACACATGTAACAGTAGACACATGTGAAAGAATTAAGATGAGGTGTTAGCAAGGGCATTATACCATTGGCACTGATAACACTGGCAACCAGACACATGTAACAGTAGACACATGTGACAGAATTAAGATTAGGTGTTAGCAAGGGCATTATACCATTGACACTGATAACACTGGCAACCAGACACATGTAACAGTAGACACATGTAACAGTAGACACATGTAACAGAATTAAGATTAGGTGTTAGCAAGGGCATTATACCATTCACACTGATAACACTGGCAACCAGACACATGTAACAGTAGACACATGTAACAGTAGACACATGTGACAGAATTAAGATTAGGTGTTAGCAAAGGCATTATACCATTCACACTGATAACACTGGCAACCAGACACATGTAACAGTAGACACATGTGACAGAATTAGGATTAGGTGTTAGCAAAGGCATTATACCATTGACACTGATAACACTGGCAACCAGAAGCTGTCAATCGTATTTCATGTAGCGATTAACACTGCTAACTGTAGTCACATGTAACAGCAGACACATGTAACAGTAGTCACATGTAACAGCAGACACATGTAACAGCAGACACATGTAACAGTAGTCACATGTAACAGCAGACACACGTAACAGCAGACACCTGTAACAGCAGACACATGTAACAGCAGTCACATGCAACAGTAGTCACATGTAACAGCAGTCACATGTAACAGCAGACACATGTAACAGTAGACACATGTAACAGTAGACACAAGTAAGAGTAGACACATGTAACAGTAGACACATGTAACAATAGACACATGTAACAGTAGACACATGTAACAGTAGTCACATGTATCAGCAGACACATGTAACAGCAGTCACATGTAACAGTAAACTCATGTAACAGCAGAAACATGTAACAGCAGACACATGTAACAGCAGACACATGTAACAGCAGACACATGTTACAGCAGACACATGTAACAGGAGTCACATGTAACAGGAGACACATGTAACAGCAGACACATGTAACAGCAGACACATGTAACAGCAGACACATGTAACAGCAGCTACATGTAACAGCAGACACATGTAACAGTAGTCACATGTAACAGCAGACACATGTAACAGTAGTCACATGTAACAGTAGTCACATGTAACAGCAGACACATGTAACAGCATACACATGTTACAGCAGACACATGTAATATGTTAAATCTGAAATACAGCTTTTAAAAATTATTTTCCTTAAGGGATGTAAAAATGTGTGTTGATTCTCAAGGTATATAACCTCAGTGACTATAAAATTCTAGTAGATGTGGCATAATTATTAAAATATTAGAAACCTTGTTGCAAATATCAACAACCTAGACAATGCAAACAGAAGGACATCTGCTAATTCCTCTATTCTGTTAGTCACCATTTGGGAAGATTTATTGTGACATAGACGTTTACAAAGACATGAATTTTCAAATGTATCTGTATACCATATGTGTACCTGTACCTACTATACATCTACCAATGTATACTATATGTGTACCTGTACCTACTATATGTGTACCTGTGTATATCATATGTGTACCTGTACCTACCATACATCTACCTGTGTATACTATATGTGTACCTGTACCTACTATGTGTGTACCTGTGTATACCATATGTGTATATGTACCTACTATGTGTGTACCTGTGTGTACCTGTGTATACCATATGAGTGCATGTACCTACTATATGTGTACCTGTGTATACCATATGTGTACCTGTACCTACTATATGTCTACCTGTGTATACCATATGTGTACCTGTACCTACTATATGTCTACCTGTGTATACTATATGTGTACCTGTACCTACTATATGTGTACCTGTGTATACTATATGTGTACCTGTACCTACTATATGTCTACCTGTGTATACCATATGTGTACCTGTACCTACTATATGTCTACCTGTGTATACTATATGTGTACCTGTACCTGCTATATGTGTAACTGTGTATACTATATGTGTACCTGTACCTACTATATGTATACCTGTGTATACCATATGTGTACCTGTACCTACTATATGTGTACCTGTACCTACTATATGTGTACCTGTACTTACTATATGTGTACCTGTTTATACCATATGTGTACCTGAACCTACTATATGTGCACCTGTTTATACCATATGTGTACCTGAACCTACTATATGTGTACTTGTGTATACCATATGTGTACATGTACCTACTATATGTGTACCTGTACCTACTATATGTGTACCTGTTTATACCATATGTGTACCTGAACCTACCATATGTGTACCTGAACCTACTATATATGTACCTGTTTATACCATATGTGTACCTGAACCTACTATATGTGTACCTGTGTATACCATATGTGTACATGTACCTACTATATGTGTACCTGTACCTACTATATGTGTACATGTGTATACCATATGTGTACCTGTACCTACTATATGTGTACCTGTGTATACCATATGTGTACCTGTACCTACTATATGTGTACCTGTGTATACCATATGTGTACCTGTACCTACTATATGTGTACCTGTGTATACCATAAGTGTACCTGTACCTACCATATGTGTACCTGTTTATACCATATGTGTACCTGTACCTACTATATGTGTACATGTGTATACCATATGTGTACCTGTAACTACTATATGTGTACCTGTGTATACCATATGTGTACCTGTACCTACTATATGTGTACCTGTGTATACCATAAGTGTACCTGTACCTACTATATGTGTACCTGTTTATACCATATGTGTACCTGTACCTACTATATGTATACATGTGTATACCATATGTGTACCTGTAACTACTATAAGTGTATCTGTCTTTACTAGACGTTTGATTGTTAATGTTAGATGTGTGATAGTAAATGTTAGATGTATACATCAGTTCTACAGGTAAACATCTATACAGAAGTTCTTGAGTACACTGACCTTCCAACAATGACCTTCACTTTATCCAAGGCTGACTTTTGACCAGTCTCATCTTGACCCTCATCACTTTGTTTATCTGACAGATTCAGCCATTTGGAATCTTGACCTTCACCCAGTTCAGCAAATCTCATGACCTTTAAAGTTGAGAACAATTGATATGTGAGACTGGTTCATTTAAGTGAGTCAGAACACTATCTATACCAGGAACTACCGTCTACCACATGAAGTACCGTCTACCACAGGAGGTACTGTCTACCACAGGAGGTACTGTCTACCACAGGAACTGCTGTCTACCACAGGAAGTACCGTCTACCACAGGAAGTACCGTCTACCACAGGAAGTACTGTCTACCACAGGAAATACTGTCTACCACAGGAACTGCTGTCTACCACAGGAACTGCTGTCTACCACAGGAAGTACTGTCTACCACAGGAACTGCTGTCTAAAACAGGAACTGCTGTCTAAAACAGGAACTGCTGTCTACCACAGGAAGTACTGTCTACCACAGGAACTGCTGTCTACCCCAGGAAGTACTGCCTACCTTAGAAAGCACTCCTATCCCATTATGTAATGTCTACCCCCCCCCCCCCCAGGAAGTACCCTCTTTTCCAGAAAGTATTGTCTATTCTAGGAAGTACTGTCTGTCCCCAGAAAGTACTGACTGTCCCCAGAAAGTACTGTCTGTCCTAGGAAATACTTTCTACCCCAGCAAGTACTTCTACTTCACAAAAAACACTATGGTAACATTCTACCCCAGGAAGTACTTCTACCTCACAAATAACACTATGGTAACATACTATATCTATTACATGTGCCAGCTGGGGAAGTTCAGGACCCAAATTTATGGCCTAGGCCAGGGCTAGTTAACTAAGTTTGCTCGTGGGCGAAAATGTTGAACATGGATATCGTCGCGGGCCAGTGGCCCCAGCTCACACTAAAATTGACAACATTTTCAATGCGTAGATATATTACACTCA